TGTGACAGATAGGTTCTCTAAAATGGCGCACTTTATTCTGTTTAAGAAACTGCCTTCTGCGGTTCAGTTAGCTCAGGTGTTTGCCAAAGAAGTGTTCCGATTGCATGGGGTACCTCAGGATATCGTATCTGACAGGGGTCCTCAATTTGTCTCTCGGTTTTGGAGGGGCTTTTGTGCTGAGATGGGGGTCTCCTTGTCGTTCTCTTCCTCCTATCACCCGCAATCTAATGGTGCGGCCGAACGTGCTAATCAGTCTGTGGAATTGTATTTGCGCTGCTTCACTAATGCGCACCAGGATGACTGGTCTCGCCTTCTTCCGTGGGCTGAATTTGCCAGGAATACGGTGTCTCATTCGTCTACTGGCTTAAGTCCTTTTGAGGTTGCTTATGGGTTTCGTCCTTCTGTCCTTCCCGGTGCGTTCTCCGACAAGGGAATGCCCGCCTTGGACCAGCACCTCGCCTCTGTGCGGAAGACATGGGATCAGGTCCATGTTGCGCTGTCTCGTTCAGCAGCTGCTCAGAAAAAGTTTGCTGATCGCCGTAGGGTTGCGGCCCCTTCTTATGTTCTGGGTGATAGGGTATGGTTGTCCTCCAGGAACCTCCGTCTCAAGGTTCCCTCGATGAAATTTGCCCCCAGGTTTCTTGGTCCCTACAAGGTGTTACGTAGGGTTAACCCCGTTTCCTACTCCCTTGATCTGCCTCCTTTCATGCGTGTTCCGAACACGTTTCACGTCTCGCTTTTGAAGCCCTTGCTGTGGAACCGGTTCTCTCGTCCCCTCGGGCGGGCCGTTTCCCCTCACGCTATCTCTGACGATGTATACGAGGTGGCCGCTCTTCTCGACTCTCGTGTTTCTAGGGGCCGGCTGCAATATTTGGTGGATTGGAAGGGGTACGGTCCTGAGGAGCGGTCCTGGGTTTCGAGCTCTGATGTGCACGCTCCCTCTTTGGTCCGCTCCTTTCATGCCTGGTTTCCTTTGAAGCCTTCCGCTTCCCGCCCTCCGGGCGGTCTTCGAGGGAGGGGTAATGTCGGGATCCCGCGGGCGGCTGCGAGGGGAGGCTGCACTCCGCTCGCGGTACTCACCCTCCAGCTGTCCGCGGTCCCCTCCTCCTCCTGGGTCCGGCGAGCGGCATCCTTCCAGCCTCGGATACCGCCCGCCGTTCCTTACACATCCCCCAGCGGCAGCATACATGACGCTGCACGCTGGGAGACCGCCCAAGTTTGTACACGCCGGGGTCAGTCACCTGACCCGGCGTTAAAGGCACAGTGCCTCAATCACAGTGGGAGGTCTAGATATCTCCCACGTGTGATTGTTAATTCTGATTGGAAATTATCCAATCAGAATTAACCTGATGGTTTAAATACTTACCTTTCCTGTTCCTCCCTGCCCTGTTGTGGTCTTTGCTTGCTAGTATTGCTACTTACCTTGTGTTTCTGGTTACGTACTCTCTGGCTTGTTTATCCGACTTTGTGACTTTCTCCTACCCTTTGACCTCGGCTCGTTTCACATTATTCTGTCTTCTGGTTCCCCTTACTCGGCTTGTTTCCTGACTATTCTGTGTGTGCTTAGCCCGGCCACTCTAAGGTCCGGTACGGCACCTTTTGTGTGTGTGTGTACCAGTGTGTTGGGTTCCCCGAATCGTGACACCGTTGACTTTGACAAATTGCCGGTGGTGCTGTCGGTTATCCCGATGGTCCGCTTGGACAGGGTCTGCCTCATGCAGGATTCCCCAGCATTCCTCTTCTACGCAGTGGGCAGCCGGGGGAGGGGGTCGTTGATTTCCGCTGACTGGCCTCCTCCAAGACTGGGCCTGGTTAGCACTGTTCAGCTGGCACTCCGGTCGTTTGTGCCCTAGCTGCTTGCACCCAAAACATCTGATGGGTTGTGATTAATCCCGTGAGTTGAACCGGGGCGGCTGCTGGTAATTATTAGATGGAGCGGGTGCTGGCGGCCGGTTCGTCGGTGGTTGGTAGACAGTAGCTGCTGGGGCTGCTGCTGGTCGGTACTCCACTCTGGCAGAAGTCTTACCAATAGCACTGTCCAGTTTGCGGGCATCTGTGTACTCGTTTGTACTCGACGCCTCGGGATAATTTTTCAAAACAGTGCTCCTACAGGAACATTTGCAGCACCTCTTCCCCTGATACAGCTTGGCACCCCGCCATCCAGTGGGCAGCTGTGCGGTGCACTTTACATGCCCATTCAACATAAGAATCCCCAGCTGATTTGACAGTGTCTCTGAACCGCCTCCTGTATGCCTCCGTTGTAACGGCATACTTGGAGAGCAAAGCTTCCTTGACGGCCCCATAATCCCCGATCTCCTCATCAGGAATGGTCCGAAAAGCATCACTGACCCGGCCGGATAACTTGCCGGACAATATAGTAACCCAGTCTTCTAGTGGTACCTTGTGTAGGGCACATTGCTGCTCAAAATCAGCAAGGTACCCATCAATCTCTCCTTCTGTCTCACTGAAGGATTTAAAAGCTGCAAACTGTACCTTCTTTCTTTCCACCGGGCCTGCTGGAACTGGGGCTGCTGCAGCACCTCTTTGGCGTAGCAGGTTGGCCTCCACAGCGTCCATGACCTGGCTGATGATCTCTGCAGATGGGTTAGGACCATAATGAGCCAGTCTGATTCTTACCGCCCGGTTGAAGCTTGCCTCCTCGGGGGTTCTGTCAGCTGCGCTAGGCCCATTGGTTCCTTCAGCCTCTGGTACGCCAACCATTTCGGTCAGTAGTATAATAATCTCCCTCTTCCTGAGATTACTGGCTTGTCCGCCTCTCTGCTGCAATAAATCCTTTAGGGTAGATCTTCTCAGCCTTTGGTATTGTATTTCCATTAATCCTGGTTGCAGTGGTCTCTCTGGGCGATGAGGGTCATCCCGTCACTTGCCACCAGTTGTTACGGTACCCTCAGCATCAGATGCACAAACCGCCATTTAGTAAATCCTCCCCTCTCGCAGTAACATAGGCTGTATGCATATCAAGTACAATCATACGAACCGCAAGCAGGGGAACGCTGTAAACTCACGAACGGGATCCGTATGGGCACTTCACTTCACGAGCTCCAAACTCACGAACCGCCAATAGTAGCCGAACACATATATCTCCCAAGCGGCTAATAATCCCATCCAGCAGTCTATAGTCGTCGGTAATAATTCCCCCCAATAACGAGACCGCATTGGGGGTAAAACAAGAACTGGTTTTACTGTGGGCTACCTGCCCGTATTTATGCAGGTCTCCCACTTGGTGGACATTCCCCTAGGGGACCAAATGGGAGACTGTAACAATAGACAGACATATGGCAGGTTAGGACCCACAGACACAAAATATTCCCAGCATGCATTAGTATTTCCTTCCCTCTGCCCTGGAGATAATTGAGAAGTAATTCAATTATCTCCAGGACAGAGGCAAATCGCCATTTTAAATTCAACACAGAAAAACATATAAAAATACATAACTTTACATTTGTCGAATGTTACCCATTCGTATCACGTATCCCCAGATAGCTATTCGCCAATAATATGCACTCAGATCCCATACGCATAGTTCAATCGCCATGGAGTCAAAGTCTATTACAGTCTTTCGGTATGCGATTGACTCCATGGGAAGGCTATCTGGGGTATGTCCATTCGTGCGTATAAAACTCTCGAACGGCCAGTATTCGTATACTTCCGTCGACTGAGAATGGAGGTCGGCGGCTTCAGCGGTGTTCGGCAGAAAAAGTGTCAGTTTTTAGTTCCATGAAATCCATGCCGAACACCGCTGGTCTTTCGCGTGGTTTTAAATGGCCTCCGCCTCGTGGTCGACATACGAACGACGACCACCCTGTATTCGGTTTTAATTGAGAAGTGTCTGCGGTTAACCACAACGTTCTAATTGGGATCAAGAGGTTAACCAGCAGCACACTTCTCTTCTGGGTGGCCGTCCGTTCGGTAGTTTTGTTCAGCGGAAAAGTCAATTCACTGAACAGGGGCATACAAACGGGTAATTCCACGAAAAGGCAAAAATAGACGAACCAGTAATCCCAGTCTATACAGATGGATCTGTCACACAACAGTAGTAATCATATCCGTACTATTATATTTAAGTATGAAATAACTATTTATAGTTGTAGGTGTAACATTCCCTGCCAAGCTATATACTCCGTACATTCAAAATACGTGATTGACATGAGGATAAAATACACTTTTGATTAGTATTAATTTGTATTTTCTGCCTTACCTTCACAATGTGTTTCAGGATCCTGTTCTTCATCTGTATTGCTGAATAAAGAATAGTCACTTATTTTAGCTATTTATTGTATATAGTTAGGTAAGTCTATTTGGAATATCATATGATATGATATCATTTATCATTTTCCTATATGTTTTACCTGGGAGAGGGAGCAGGAAGAAATTCTTGAGTGGGTAATAAAGAGCTACATTCTAATGGACTCATCTGAAGTCCAGCCATAGCACAATCTTCACTGCATCGTTTCTCCATCCTGTGGATCAAAATTATAGGTTTTACTTGAAAAAGCCTAACAGATTAACATGTAGATTCACTATACTAGAATTAGTGGATGTGAGATCTTTTTTCTTCTTTGCAAATCTGAGAATTATTATTTTCAGCATTAGCAAAATGTTTCCAAGTCCAATTCTCTATAATGTGGCTTTAAAATGTATTTGTCACTTGACAACATAGATTGATCAATTCTAATGCAAACAGCTACCATGAATGGCTCAGCATGTGTATACAAAGTGCCAAATCATATCATAAAACAAGTAAATAATATCAGCAAATATGCTGTTTGTAGTGCTACGTTAGGGAGCCTCAGCGCTGAAAAAAAAGGTAGGTAAAATAATTTATTTAAGCCATTTTATGTTGGATAGGGGTAAGGAACCTGTAAACTTAGGGACAGGGACATTATAGCGTTGGGAATAAAAGTTTGTATTCCTAACACTATAGTGTTCTTTTAAGTTCAAAGACAACTTTTAGATTTTAGAACACACATTCGCATATGCACACACACAAATATAATTTTTATATAAATAGGTACCATTAAAAAAACAAAAGAGAGGGTTCAGAGAAGGGCTACTAAACGGGTTCATGGATTGCGGGATAAAACTTACCAGGAAAGGTTAAAGGATTTTAACATGTATAGCTTGGAGGAAAGACGAGAGAGGGGGGATATGATAGAAACATTTAAATACATAAAGGGAATCAACACAGTAAAGGAGGATACTATATTTAAAAGAAGAAAAACTACCACAACAAGAGGACATACTCTTAAATTAGAGGGACAAAGGTTTAAAAATATTATCAGGAAGTATTACTTTACTGAGAGGGTAGTGGATGCATGGAATAGCCTTCCAGCTGAAGTGGTAGAGGTTAACACAGTAAAGGAGTTTAAGCATGCGTGGGATAGGCATAAGGCTATCCTAACTATAAGATAGGGCCAGGGACTAATGAAAGTATTTAGAAAATTGGGCAGACTAGATGGGCCGAATGGTTCTTATCTGCCGTCACATTCTATGTTTCTATGTTTCTAAAATATTCTTCTTTCACCAGTTTAAATGGTTTGGAGTGACATCAATGACAATGTGAACATAAATCAATTATTATTTATAGAAACATTATAGGGTCAGGAATACATTTAGGTGGCAGGCACCCCCTTATCCCCCTCCCCCTTAAATAGGGTAAAACTCACCTTATTTCCAGGGTTGCGGGGTTCTGACATGGCTGGCCTCATACCCAACCACTGATTATCTCAGCCGCATTGGGAGGCTAATGTGCATGTACAGCAAAATGCCGCTCTGCTCAAATCAGCATCTTCTCATAGAGATACATTAAATCAATGCATCTCTATAAGAAAAGTTCAGTGCCTCAATGCAGAGTGTTAAAATGTGACCCAATAAGCACCTTTATTGGCTGTGTGAGTGACTACCACCAGAGAAAAAGCAATGTTTACATGAAAATGCCTGTAGGGACACTAGAACAACTACATTGACCTGAGCAAATTTGCACTGGTAAGCTTGTATGAAAGATCGACTACAAAAAACAGATGGCTTGAGATTAGTATTCAGTGGTGTAACTGCAGCTGGTTCCGCTATTTACCACTATAACGTCTTAAAGCATAGAACTTAGCAGGGCTAACCATACAGATATCTTTAGCCATGATATTATATAGTTAGTAAGAGATTCTCTATTTAAAATATATAAATAATTGAGAATACAATATAAAATAAGGATTGTCTTGGAAGCATAAAGTTTTGTCTTTTTAGATATTTATTATATAAAAATATAAATATAGACATATAAAATCCATTACAATAATTTATAGCAGAGTTTATAAGATTAAATTAGATGCTTGCAATATCTTAATAGATAGACATATCCTCCTGAACATGTCATCATGTCGGCCCCTCTGTCATTATAAGATGGAGCATCTGTCTCCAAATCTCCTCTCTGTGTCTTAAAGGACCACTCTAGGCACCCAGACCACTTCAGCTTATTGAAGTGGTCTGGGTGCCAGGTCCAGCTAGGATTAACCCATTCTTTTATAAACATAGCAGTTTCAGAGAAACTGCTATGTTTATGAATGGGTTAAGCCTTCCCCCAAAACCTCTAGCGGCTGTCTCATTGACAGCCGCTAGAGGGTTTCATGCCTGTGATTTTCACAGTGAGAGCAATAAGCGTAGGAAAGCATTGTGAATGCTTTCCTAATCGGCTGAATGCGCCAGGCTCTTGCCGCTTGCGATTCAGCCAACGGAGGAACGGAGGAGGATCGGAGGAGGAGAGCTCCCCGCCTAGCGCTGGAAAAAGGTAAGTTTTTACCCCTTTCTCCCTTCCAGAGCCGGGCGGGAGGGGGACCCTGAGGGTGGAGGCACCCTCAGGGCACTATAGTGCCAGGAAAATTAGTATGTTTTCCTGGCACTATAGTGGTCCTTTAACATTTAAAAGGTACACATATTTATATCAAGGCCATAACTAAAACGTAAGTGCACACGTCATCGGAAATTCCTTAACTTAGGATAAGATGGCGTCTTAAAGTCTGAACATCTTATCTATTGTTTATTCTAAAACGTAAGTGCACATGTCACGGGAAATTCCCAGATTTGGGGAATTTCCACTAGCTTGGGACAAGATGGCTTCCTAAAGTCTGAACATCTTATTCACTGAATATGGGTAAGAGGTCATTTATTAAAGAAACGTTGTATGAAAAAACAATATGTTCCATTCTAACACCTTGTCAGTTTGCAATATCTCTTATAGACAAAGTACACAGTTTAAGAAATACATTTCATTCTAAAATTTGTAATATGTGCATTTGCCCATAACAGCGGTATTACAATGTAACTGTTAAGCAAGCAAGCCAACTTATTTGGTTAAGTAACACATTTCAAGTTATGTATATATACATAAGTAGTACATTTAAAATTGAGTGATTCTAATGTGACAAATTTAAAAAAACATTAAAACTCATTTGGGTTATAAGATTGCTAGCAGTTCATTGAATTTTCAACAAGCAAATCAATAAAAAATAATAAAATAATTAGAGAGGTACACCAAACCCCTAAAGCATTTCACCTTGTAGAAGTCTGCATGCTCATGATGCTCCTTTTGTCCCAATTAAAAAAGTGCCAATTTTAAGAGAAAGCAGCAGAATTGATTTGGACCCGACTGCAGAGTTGCCATCAGAAATGTTGGGGCCCCTTACACAGGTCTAGGACTGGGATCAGGTCTTGCCCTGAATCCACCCACAGGGCCCACGCAAGAGTCAAACCACAGGGTTCACCCTTGAGTCCACCCACAAGGATGAGTAAATTGGATGCAGTGTGTATGTATATAGTGAGTGCAAAGGGTATATGTGTGCATGTGTAAAGTCAGGGCCACCATCAGAAATTTTGGGGCCCCTAACACAGCTCAAGATCTGGGCACCCAGGTGCCCGCCTCCAAGCCAACCTCCAAATCCCACCCACAGGACCTTCCTCCAAATCTGCCCACAAGTAAACAGTGTTTGTAAAGTGGATACAGGGTGTGTGTTTTGTGGATGCAAAGTGTGTTTGTATATTGGCTGCAGTGTGTGTTAGTGCATGTGTAGTGGATGCAATGTGTGTGTAGTGGATGCACTGTGTGTATATATATATATATATATTTATATATATATATATTTATTTGTGTTGATTGTTAGCATGTTTTTGTATGGAGTATGTGTGTAAATGCTGGTGTGTGAATGCAGATGCACACATACTAACAGACACACTTACTGAAACGCACATACAGGCATACATACTGACACACACATACATACATACATACTGACACACACACACATACATACTGACATACACACACTTACTGTCAGGATCTTATCCTGACAGATAAGTTCTATGTTCATTTATTTCTGTTCCTTTAAAAGAAGTTCCAGCTCTTCACCACTAGTGGCCTCCCTAGCCACTAGTCACCTCAGTCCTCACCTGCCTAGGACTAATTACAGATCCTACAAAAGGCCACACCCGAGAATACCAGTGGCCTTTACATTGAAGTTGATGTTCATACTGAAAAGACTTCAGATCCTGGCTCCTGAGAAGCAACCTGTGATTTACCTGGTTTACCAACCCTGCTTCATACCAACCTGGATTGCCTGCAACACTGCTTTATCCTGTCAACCTAATTTACTATCAACCCTGCTTCATTCCAACCTAGATTACCTGCAACACTGCTTAATCTTGCCAACCTAGTTTACTACCAACGCTGCTCCATACCAACCCTGCTTCATACCAACCTGGATTGCCTGTAACACTGCTTTATCCTGTCAACCTAGTTTACTACCAACCCTGCTTCATACCAACCTAGATTGCCTGCAACACTGCTTTGTCCTGTCAACCTAATTTACTACCAATCCTGCTCCATACCAACCTGGATTGCCTGCAACACTGCTTTATCCTGTCAACCTAGTTTACTACCAACCCTGCTCCATACCAACCTGGTTTGCTTGCAACACTGCCTTATCCTGTCAACCTAGTTTACTACCAACCCTGCTTCATACCAACCCTGCTTCATACCAACCTGGATTACCTGCAACACTGCATTATCCTACCAACCTGGTTTACTACCAACACTGCTCCATAACAATCCTGCTTAACCCCTATTTGGACATTGCTGCTTACTTTTATTTACAAGGTGTTATTTTCCTACCTTGAAACCTTATTGTTCTTTATATCTGTCGTATTGTTCCTATACTGTTTGTGGCGAAACCGGCCTCGCCACGTGTCCTTGGAGGGGGCTGCTTGCCCGGCTCTTGCCTTTGGACTATGGACCAGACTTTATGTGAAGGTATTAACCCAGATAGCTATGCCATGGAGCCCATTCGTGTAGTTAAAGACTTCGGCTCCATGGCAATTGAACTGTGTGAATAGGATCTGAGCGCTATTTGGTAGTTTTGTGCGCTCAGATCCCAGCTATCTGGGGATATGTGACATGTCTGTGTTTTATGTATAAAAGGTGACTTTATGTATTTTAAAGTGTTTTGTGTCTTTTTGCAACCATGTGCTTAATGGAGTCTTGTGTCTGTCCTGGGAGATAATTGAATTACAATTCAATCTCCAGGATAGAAGACTCTGAAACTGGTTTGGGCCGGAAAGCCATGCTTCATTTAGTCACAAAGGACTTTCCCTTAACTTTTGAACCCCTGGTCTGATTCGTGCCATTTTTTAATATGTTGTTCCCCTGAATGGATTGATTCTGAAAATGTATGTTTTATGTTTGTGACATTTATATTTTAGAAGTTATAAATATTGTGTAAAAACTGTATTCCTCTGCCGGTGATAATGAGATTACCCATTGTGTTCAGTAATCATATCACCTGCAGAGGGGAGGATTTTGTGTGGGAGTGTCTGGGTGTATTGTACGGATTGATTGGTTGTTTTGTAACGCCCTGTGGGCTGTACTATGTTTGTGGATTGGGAATAAAAGAGACTGTATGTGACAGTACAGGAAGTTCCTGCTTAACCCTCAAAGTGAAGTGTCGTCTCATTATTGGGGGAAGGATTTATTGTATGCTGTTCCAGTTTGACTGCTAGGAGAGTAAACCTATTCGTATGGTTCCTATTCAACTGTCTACAGCATTCATATGCTTGGGAGAATTTATTTGTTTCTCCGGTTCGGTGATTGTGGTGTCTGCCAGAGTGCTTGGAGTCCTCAGGAAGCGCTAGGAGCATCCTTCAACGGAGGTACCCAGTCGGGGTGCCAGGCGATCCGTTACATTGGTGGCAAGCGGTGGGATGGTGTCCTAGTGCGAGGTAAAGCAGCTCAGAGACACAGTTCGTTTGGAGTTACAAATTGAGGGCAACGCTAGCACACGTGCAGCGCCCCTGGGAGCAGAGGTATCCAGCGACTTGGAGCAGACAAGTATGGAATGCTCTGGCGATGATTGGATGGCCGAGGTGAGGCAGCGAGTGGCCCAGTATGGGGATGATTTACCCATGGAGGTACGCCGGGTGATCTGGAACCAGGTCACGGCCGAGCGAAACACAAGGCTGGCCCGAGAATTCCGGCTGGCGAAAGAGAGAGAGTATGCTCAGCGGAAGGAGTGTTACAGCAGCCGAGTAGAGGCTGCATCCGAGGAGGCTAGCCGTCTCCCCCTGAGGCGGCCGCAGGAACCCGAAGTAGGGGTCCTCATAGACTGGTCCTGTGAGGAACCACAACAGGCAGGTGGAGATGGGACCGGCCCAGATCCCCAGCAGCCGGAGTTGCCAGGTGGTCCTTACTCGCAAATGTTGAGGGACCTCACAGACTGGTCCTGGGAAGACCCACAGATGGCAGGTGGAGATGGGACGGCGGTCTCTCTACCGGCCCTACAGGGATGCTGGGCGGTCGGCCCAGATCTCCAGCGGCAGTGTGACCCCAGGGAGCCGAAGGGGCGGCTGAAGGTGTGAGTCCCAGGGAGCCGAAGGGGTCGTCCTTCCTCCCCAGCGGCAGTCTGTTTCCCAGGGAACGGAAGGTGCAGTCCTTCCTCCCCAGCGGCAGTGTGTCCTTCAGGAAGCGGAGACAGTCTGTCTTTCTCCCCAGCAGCAGGACAAAATATTGAAAGGAGAGACAGTTGGTCCCCCTCTCCACCAGCAATGAGAGTGTCAGGGAGAGGAGCAGGTTACCCCCTCTCCCCAGCGGCAGTCTACAATTCAGAGAGAGGAGCTTGTTACACCCTCTCTCCAGCGGCAGCCTAACCCACTATGGGGAGATGTTAAGCCCCACAACTATGCAGATGGGACCGTAGTCTCTGCACTTGCAGCACCAGGGGTAGGGACAGTCGGTCCTGTCCCCCAGCCACAGAGCAGTGTATCCAGAGGGGAGACAGTCGGTCTCCCCCTCCCACAACCAGGCTCCAACCAGGCTACTTCAGTGGTAGCGCAGGCACCCGGGCAGAGTACCGCTGGTCTCTGCCCACTCAGCAACCCACCAAGGCAGTCTACCAGCCCCCCCCACAGCCGTGGTGAGGCACCTGGACATGGACAAGTTGCTATTTTATCCAGGTGTAGTAACCAGTTATTGTGGGTGGGCTGTATTGCTGTTTGTGCTTCGTGGGTGGGTTGCTGGACTAACCAGGGCACTGACCGGCAGGAGGTCAGATACCCTGTTAGTCTGGATGGTAAAGGGGAGAAATGTGGCGAAACCGGCCTCGCCACGTGTCCTTGGAGGGGGCTGCTTGCTGCCTCTTGCCTTTGGACTATGGACCAGACTTTATGTGAAGTTATTAACCCAGATAGCTATGCCATGGAGCCCATTCGTGTAGTTAAAGACTTCGGCTCCATGGCAATTGAACTGTGTGAATAGGATCTGAACGCTATTCGGTAGTTTTGTGCGCTCAGATCCCAGCTATCTGGGGATATGTGAAATGTCTGTGTGTTATGTGTAAAAAGTGACTTTATGTATTTTAAAGTGTTTTATGTCTTTTTGCAACCATGTGCTTAATGGAGTCTTGTGTCTGTCCTGGGAGATAATTGAATTACTCTCAATTATCTCCAGGATAGAAGACTCTGAAACTGGTTTGGGCCGGGAAGCCATGCTTCATTTAGTCACAAAGGACTTTCCCTTAACTTTTGAACCCCTGGTCTGATTCGTGCCATTTTTTAATATGTTGTTCCCTGAATGGATTGATTATGAAAATGTATGTTTTATGTTTGTGACATGTATATTTTAGAAGTTATAAATATTGTGTAAAAACTGTATTCCTCTGCCGGTGATAATGAGATTACCCATTGTTTTTAGTAATCATATCACCTGCAGAGGGGAGGATTTTGTGTGGGAGTGTCTGGGTGTATTGTATGGATTGATTGGCTGTTTTGTAACGCCCTGTGGGCTGTACTATGTTTGTGGATTGGGAATAAAAGAGACTGTATGTGACAGTACAGGAGTTCCTGTTTTAACCCTCAAAGTGAAGTGTCGTCTCATTATTGGGGGAAGGATTTATTGTATGCTGTTCCAGTTTGACTGCTAGGAGAGTAAACCTATTCGTATGGTTCCTATTCAACTGTCTACAGCATTTATATGCTTGAGAGGATTCACATGCTTCTCCGGTTCGGTGGTTGTGGTGTCTGCTGCAGTGCTTGGAGTCCTCAGGAAGCGCTAGGAGCATCTTTTAACGGAGGTACCCAGTCGGGGTGCCAGGCGATCTGTTACAGTATTCATATTTG